AAAAAAAAAAAAAAAAAAATGTAGAACACCTAATTATAAATCTTAGTGTTCTTTCTCATTATTTTAATATATATCACAATTTACATGGGAAGTGATCAAATGAACTACATTGCTTGGGTCTGCTAGTCATAACCTTCATGGCTAGGATGTGCCATGCCACCTAGACTATAGCAAATCACCCATGTTCCCTCCATAATCTATCGGTGAGGAGTAATGTTCTACTCAAACAGATTCTTCCTACATCCCCACTGCTCTATGGAACTGACTCTCAAGAGGATACTTCCCCAATCACTACAATCTTAACCTGTTCAGGTCTGGGGTTATCCATTATTTTCCCGTCCTATCTATATAAACTACACCTTAATATAACCCTCTACCTCAAGTGGCCTCCTGGGACTTGTACCACGTAAACCTTACTGTGAATATATATATATATATATGTGTGTGTGTGTGTGTGTGTGTGTGTGTGTATGTATGTATGTAACTAATATGATGATACAATAGTTGTCAGTGAAAATGAAAACCCTACCGCCCCTTATTAAAATGATTGGTTTTCTCCATATCCATAGAAACTAATATTACGAAGGTATATGCTTATAAAGCTCCGTAAATTTCAAAATCAGTTAATTTGCTTGAGGATGAAACAAAACTAGGTACTTTAATTTCTAAAATTGAATTGGAAGTTTTTAGCTTCTGGTTTTGAAACATGGCAATTCCTATGTAGTGAGAGAATCATATTTTTAAAAATAAAAGGATGACTGATAATTAAATCTCTAAACAGTTTATATATCGTGGGTTAGCAAAAGTAAAAAAAAATAGCACAGAAGCTGAGGTGTAAAGATTGCATGTAGAACATACTGAAGAAGGCCAACATCAGGCAAAATATCTGGTAAAACATAGTTTCTAGATTGTTCATCCGGGAGGAAAACAGTTGAAAAAACACTATTCTTAAAAGAGTGCTCAATACAGAGTAGAGCACATAGTATTTATTCAAAAATTACTATCCAATTACATCATTAACAAATTGAAAAATGAAGCTGAAATATTTTCATTTTTTTACCCTAATAAAATTGAATTTTCAGTTTCGGAGGACCTTTTTTCAAAAACTAAAATGCATTAATGCCTTTTCATTACTTTTGAACAAAAGTTCATCGATTCATGATAGAGGAACATAGGGTTACAAAAATATATATATATATATATATATATTTATATATATATATATATATATATATATATATATATATATATATATATATATATATATATATATATATATATATATATATATATATATATATATATATATATATTTATATATATATATATATTTTATATATATATATATATATATATATTTTGGTAGCATGTCTTCATTAAGACATGTCTCATTAAATAATTTAAACATGTTTTGTTTAAGGATACTAAGAAACTTGCCCATTACCATATTGATGCATATTCATTTTATTCTTAATACTTTCGACATTAGCATGTCATCATCAGGGGCTTGTTTTTTCTAAAACAAAAAATTCTTGTGTTCATCTGAAAATTACATTTTTACTTGTGAAGTGAAAAACACTGAGGTTATGTAGTGTACGATTTTTAAATTTTATGATGTAAGTACACGACAAACATCAACATAGTAATTTTCTTTCTTCTTTTAATAAAGATACTAAAAAATATGTCCCTAGTTATACATATATGTATATATAAATAAAATAGTTATACATATATGTATATATAAATAAAATAAAAAGAAAGTACAGTAAGATATATAATCCAGTGTTCTTTTTGATATTTTTATTTTTACAAAATAGTGCTCAGTGTAAATTTACAGAGCATTAATATCATAAATTAACTGATTTAAAATATGTTTTTTGTAACTAATAACTGATACAACAAAAGTTAATAAAACTGAACACACTACCACCCCTTGTCTGAATGAATGTATCTCTCTGTATCCTTGGAAACAGTGAATTATGAATTTTTCTGTGCCTTAAAACTCAGTAAATTTAAAAAATAAGTTACTCCAAAATTTGCTTGAGGATGAAATGGAACTAATGTTTTTAATTTAATTACAAAATTAAATTTGAAGCTCTTAGCTTCCATTTTTAAAACATGGTTAAAACCATTTTTTAAATCAGTTAATTTATAATATATATATATATATATATATAGTGTTTAAGCCTTTTTATTATATCCTTACTCTGTCCTAGACATTGAGTTCTACCTGGATCCTTCCTCTTGGAAAATTTTTTTTCTGAAAATATACATGTATGGAAATTTTTTTAGATATATATTTTTCATATGTATATATATTTTCCACTAATATTATCTATATATATAAATATATATATATATATATATATATAAAAGAATAGGATGGTTTCTCCAGTCTTGAATGGCAACTTTCCTAGTGATGGTGTGCCGATGAAGACACTGGTGCATTTGGACCCCTGTGAGTGTCCGAGTTGGGTAGCAGACAGGGCATTCAGCCTAGTAAAACCTTTGCCTCAAATTACTATGGCAAAACAAGAAAAAAAACACATACCTATATAGTAGTAGTAGTTATCTATTTTAGGTTCATGCAAAATGACATACACTGTAATATCAAAGAAAATAGCTGCATTGCCATTTGGTGTAATGGTAAGTAGGCTTGCCAAGGAAACTATTATGAAAGATGAATGAATTGAATCCTCAGAAATTATCAAATATATAATATTGACTGAATATGAAAGTAAAAGCAATGTTTAAAAAGGAAGGGGGGTGGGAGGTATTGTCCATTTAACAGCTGATTACAAAACCATAGCCATCTTCTTCCTGTTTCTCATCCCCACCCATTGGCTTGATGGAAGTAACGAGGGAGATGGGGAGGTCAGAAATAAAAAAAAAAAGTAAGCAAGAGAAAGGAATAAAGACAGGACATTATTTCTACTTAAGAAATTGTGAAATTATCTTCTTTAGAAAGCAATTTCAATAACATAACAGTTTTGTGCATGAGTGGGAGAGAGAAAGAGAACAGGGTACACGTTGAGAGAGTAAATGGAGAAAGAGAATTGACAAAGGAAGAGAGAGAGAGAGAGAATTGACAAGGCACAGAGAGAGAGAGAGAATTGACAAGGCACAGAGAGAGAGAGAGAATTGACAAGGCACAGAGAGAGAGAGAGAATTGACAAGGCACAGAGAGAGAGAGAAAAGACAAGGCACAGAGAGAGAGAGAAAAGACAAGGTACAGAGAGAGAGAGAAAAGAGAGAGAGAGGGAGAAAAGAGAGAGAGAGGGAGAGAGAAAAGACAAGGTACAGAGAGAGAGGGAGAGAGAAAAGACAAGGTACAGAGAGAGAGGGAGAGAGAAAAGACAAGGTGCAGAGAGAGAGAAAAGACAAGGTACACAGAGAGAGAAAAGACAAGGTACACAGAGAGAGAAAAGACAAGGTACACAGAGAGAGAAAAGACAAGGTACACAGAGAGAGAAAAGACAAGGTACACAGAGAGAGAAAAGACAAGGTACACAGAGAGAGAAAAGACAAGGTACACAGAGAGAGAGACAAATGACAAGGTACACAGAGAGAGAGACAAATGACAAGGTACAGAGGGAGAGAGAGAAAATGACAAGGTACAGAGGGAGAGAGAGACAAATGACAAGGTACAGAGGGAGAGAGAGACAAATGACAAGGTACAGAGAGAGAGACAAATGACAAAGTACAGAGAGAGAGAGACAAATGACAAGGTACAGAGAGAGAGACAAATGACAAGGTACAGAGAGAGATGGACAAACGACAAGGTGTACAGCAAGGGAAATGATATGGTAAAGAAAGAGAGAGGGAGAAAAGAAATAAAGTACAGTGAGAGAGAAAGAAATGACAACATAAAGACAGAGAGAAAGAAATAATATATATATATATAGCAAGAGAGAGAGAAAGAGATGAAAAGAGAAATGACAATATACACAGAAAGAGGAAGGGGGATATGAGCAGACAATGACCGAGAACATGACTAATATATGGTGAAAGAGAGAGTAGGGCAAATGTACAGTGAGAGAGAGAGAGACCAAATGGACAGTGAGAGAGAGAGAGATCAAATGGACAGTGAGAGAGACAGAGAGACCAAATGGGCAGTGAGACAGAGAGACCAAATGGGCAGTGAGACAGAGAGAGAGAGACCAATTAATATTGACAGAGAGAGATAGGGACCAATGGATAGTGACAGAGAGAGATAGGGACCAATGGATAGTGACAGAGAGAGATAGGGACCAGCTGACAGTTTCAGCAAGAGAGAGAGAGTGAGACCAACTGACAGTGAGAGAGACCAACTGACAGTGAGAGAGAGAGAGAGACCAACTGACAGTGAGAGAGAGAGAGAGACCAACGGACAGTGAGAGAGAGAGAGAGACCAACGGACAGTGAGAGAGAGAGAGAGAGAGACCAACTGACAGTGAGAGAGAGACCAACTGACAGTGAGAGAGAGACCAACTGACAGTGAGAGAGAGACCAACTGACAGTGAGAGAGAGACCAACTGACAGTGAGAGAGAGACAGAGACCAACTGACAGTGAGAGAGAGACAGAGACCAACTGACAGTGAGAGAGAGACAGAGACAAATGAAGTTTGAGGAAAGAAAGATTTCCACATATCATTAGTAAGAAGGAAATAACAGATTTGTCATGAAAGTCCTGTGATAAGTTCCAGCAAAAGGAAGAAGGAAACCCAGTAACTGGGTTTTGGCCGATTGTCCAGACAAGATTATAGGTGTTTAATGCTTGCTGACGTGTGTATGAATTAGCCGTTAGCAACAACGTCCAATTTTTGAAGTTATCCCTCTCACACCCCGACCTTCAACTCCCAACTTTCCTCATCCCTGTACCTATTCCTTCTGTGAGTGTGTGTAATTCTGAAAATTATTTTGTCCGAGGGCCCATCAAGCAGTCATGAGGCTGATTCAGTGGCTGGGGCCAAAGATTACTGATGACACGAAGAACAAGGCGGTTGCAGTGATACAATTGGCTAATTAAAGAGGAAAAGACAACACAACTTAACAGACCGGACCTTGAGAGAGAGAGAGAGAGAGAGAGAGAGAGAGAAAAAAGTGAGAAAGAGGGATATAAAATACTTAATAATAGCTAAATGGCATAAGCAGGAGGCTGGGGGTAGCTTTTGTGGTAGAGGAGTTAGGGTTTGAAAATTTTCCGAGTTGAGTTTGGGGTAAGCTGAGCATTTAGGAAATAATCATGTCTGGCCTATGGCTTCATAAACGTGAAGCAAAGACAATGAAAGTCATCGTGATAATAATAATATGCGATTTTGCTCTTGCAAGGAGGAGGGAGGGAGGTTTTGCAATGGAATACTACAGCACCCCCCCCCCCCGCTTTGCTCCACTGCAAGCCGACTGCAGTTTAGAACTAATCACTGACAATTGAAACAACTTGTATTTATACTGAAGACAGAAATCAGTGGTAGGGGAGGGTAATTTGAGCCCCGCCACTTTAAGGTACAAACAGGTATGTGCCAGGAAGCTGGTCAGTGTTGGGTGGGAACCCGTTATAAGAGCCAGGGAAAAGATGGGACAAGTTTATTCATTCTTCATCTTTCTTTACAACAATTATGGGTGGCAGCGGACTTGCTGACAATAAAGGGTTAGTGTAACAAGCACCACAGAGCAGTTTGGCTCCTGAGTGTTCTTCACACCCCAGGGGGTTTCTATTGTAGTCAGTCTTGTTTGAGTTCTGATCTGAGAATAATTTTGAGTCCTTTTTTTTTTTTCTTTTTTTTTTTAACAAGGAGAACAAAAAAAAAAAAAAAACAACAGGCAGAAGAGAGAGAGATGGAAACAGAGAGAGAGGAAGAGAAGAAACAGTGACATAGGAAACAGAGCAAAAAACAGGAAATAGAGAGAGAGAAATGGGGGGAAACGGAGAGAGAGAGCAATGGGAGAGAGAACAACAGGATACACAGGGAAAGAGAACAACGGGATACAGAGAGAGAGAGTGAGAGACGGGAAACACAGAGAGAGAGAGAGAGACGGGAAACACAGAGAGTGAGAGACGGGAAACACAGAGAGTGAGAGACGGGAAACACAGAGAGAGTGAGAGACGGGAAACACAGAGAGAGTGAGAGACTGGAAACACAGAGAGAGTGAGAGAGAGTGAGAGACGGGAAACAGAAGAGAGAGAGAGACGGGAAACAGAAGAGAGAGTGAGAGACGGGAAACAGAAGAGAGAGTGAAGGACTGGAAACGGAAAGATAGAGAGTGAAGGACTGGAAACGGAAAGATAGAGAGTGAAGGACTGGAAACGGAAAGATAGAGAGTGAAGGACTGGAAACGGAAAGATAGAGAGGAAGGACTGAAACGGAAAGATAGAGAGTGAAGGACTGGAAACGGAAAGATAGAGAGGAAGGACTGGAAAACGGAAAGATAGAGAGTGAAGGACTGGAAACGGAAAGATAGAGAGTGAAGGACTGGAAACGGAAAGATAGAGAGTGAAGGACTGGAAACGGAAAGATAGAGAGTGAAGGACTGGAAACGGAAAGATAGAGAGTGAAGGACTGGAAACGGAAAGATAAAGAGTGAGAGATGGAAAATAAAAGAAAGAGTCTGAGAGAAGGTAAGAGAGCAAGAGTGTGTGAGACGCAGAGAGAGAGTGTGTGTGTGAGACGCAGAGAGAGAGTGTGTGTGTGAGACGCAGAGAGAGAGTGTGTGTGTGAGACGCAGAGAGAGAGTGTGTGTGTGAGACGCAGAGAGAGAGTGTGTGTGTGAGACAGAGAGAGAGAGAGTGTGAGACAGAGAGAGAGAGTGTGTGTGTGAGAGAGAGAGAGAGAGAGTGTGTGTGTGAGACAGAGAGAGAGAGTGTGTGTGTGTGAGACAGAGAGAGAGAGTGTGTGTGTGTGAGACAGAGAGAGAGAGTGTGTGTGTGTGAGACAGAGAGAGAGAGGTGTGGTGTGTGTGAGACAGAGAGAGAGAGTGTGTGTGTGTGAGACAGAGAGAGAGAGTGTTTGTGTGTGAGACAGAGACAGTGAGAGAGAGAGAGAGAGAGAGAGTGTGTGTGTGTGAGAGAAACACGGAGAGAAACAATGAGAGAAAAGGTAAGGGAAAAAGAAACAGAAGGTGGGACAATGAAACAGATAAAAAATGAGTGAGAAGGTATGGAGAGAACAGATAAACAGAAGGCAGAAGAAAATGGAGAAAAAAAAAGAGAAAGGGGGAAGAGAAAAGGAAAGTAAGGGAGAAAAGAGAAAAGAAAAAGAGAGAGAAAAGAAAAAGAGAGAGAAAAGAAAAAGAGAGAGAAATAAAAAAGACAGAGAGACAAAAAGGTGAGAAGCCAAATGCTGATGAGGGAGATAGAAAAGAGAGAAAAGCGCGGGGGGGGGGACTGCAGAGTTAGCATCCTGAACCCATTTCATCTTTACCCAATTTATGATTTGGCCCCTGACAATCCAGTAACCCTATGCTGATTTTTTTTTTCTTTCTTAGCTTCCCCATAACCAGTGGGTACTTGAGATTGTGCACTTTTTCCCTGGCTAACCACAATAGCCATTTTCGTTGGCCACTCAATCCCAACGCACAGTACAAAGGAAACAACTCTTTAAAGCAGGAAGGCTGACTAGAGAAATGCTATTTTACAGGGCGGGATATAACCCTCCTCTCCTTCAGGCAAGGGGAGCCTTTCATACCTGACACACACACTCTCTCTCTCTCTCTGTTCCAAAATGCTTTAGAAGTAGATGAATAAGACACACCCAAGCCTTCCAACAACACAATGTCACCAAAACAAGAGAAAGTTACAAAGAAGCAGGATAAGAAAAACTGAAAAAAGGACAAGCAAAAGGTGTAAAAAAAAAAAGGGGGGGGGCAAAATAAAGAAAGGTGAGATTGTGGTTATGTTAACCATGACAAAAAACTCCCAAGATTGACCTAAATTGATGTATGGTTAAAAACAGTTTAGTTTTTACTATAAGAAACCCCAGTTTTTTTTCTTCTCAGGTGGAAGGAAGGTATTTTCAGCATTTTCATATTATAATACTGCTTGTTTCTTTGTTAGTTAGCATCAACATTATGCCTTGCCATTACCTCAGATAAACAATGGACCATTCGTATTTAATTGCAAGTATAGATCAAAATCACTGTTTGATTTTAGGAAAAGGAAGGAAGGGAGGGAAGTGATTACACTCACATATGTTTAATGTCTATTTCAGTGAAATGGAAAAACTTGTCAATTTCATTTTTTTTCTTTCATTTGTACCCTCTTACTTCTTCGCATAATGACTTGCATTCATACTTATGATTATTATTGCAATATTTGGTGAAAGTTGTCAGGCTCAAATATTTAATGATGCATTATGAGGAATTTCCATAGGCATTTTGTCGTCGTGAAACTCGCAAGGAGCTTATTCAATCATTAAGAATTAAGATTTATAAGAAAATTCCAATAGGAATATCCATAAAATTCGGCTGATCACTTATAATTAAATATTTCTAATTTTTTTTAATATCAACAGGGAGGAAGTAGTTAAAAAAAAAAAAAAAAAAAATCAATTTTAAATCCATATGCTTTAGATGCTTGGAGCTAGAGTATTGCTTTCTAACCATTTTTTTGGTCATGCCCCACCACAGCATCTCTAAAATCCCAATGCCCTCCCCACCCTGTGACATATAATTCTTATTATTCAAAAAGTGAACTAATCATGTGGAAGAAGCCTAAAAAGCCATTAACCCATTACCTGCCATGAGCCCCATTTGGAGATCTGTTAAAATTAAACTCACTACATGTCATTCCTTGTATTTACATTGAACTGGAGAGGTATATTTTACAACACTTAGCCTTTAAAGTTTTTATTATTAGCCGTAAGAAAACACTTTCTGTCATAATTTTACATTTTACGAGTAGAAAAATAACGACTATTTTGAAAGTATTTTTTTTATTATTTCTAATCAATATTATTTTCTGATGTTTTATACACATATATATTTGATGTTCTAGTTTCTATAAAGATGACAATAGTAACTATTGAAATTAAATATAAGGAATAGATAAACTCCTAAGACACATGTCTGGGCCAAAAATACGCATTAAAATATTTGGCAGTTAATAGGTTAACTTATCTTTCCTTAAGAACTTGAGACTGCATATATGCAATAGTCACGATTACGATCATCAGTCCTGTAACTCTTTCAAGTTGTAGGGGGTACCACATGTACAGTTTCTGCAGAAGAAGTGGTGTGTCTGGGTAAGAAAGCCAGACAGAGCCCCACTGTCTCCAGGTTGGTTGAAAATCAGACCTACCAAGGCTATAGAAACCAGTCTGTTCTGCTATTTACCCATAACTGGGAGGGAGGAGAAGAGCTGGATTCAAACCTTTCCATATGATATTAGCACTTGTGAATGAAATGAACTAGACTGGAATTCAAACTAAATTCTGGATTCCTCAATCTAAGCCACAATCTATTATTCCACCATGCCTATGCAATAATATCATTTAATTTTAGAATTTTACAATATTTATAAAAATATTGTTACTAATACACATATATATATATATATATATATATATATATATATATATATATTATATATATACAGTTCAATTTATATTACAATGAATCATTCATACAAAAAAGTAAATTAAAGTTGATAATATAAACTGGCGAAATCTCTTCACTAACAAAATTTTGTTAGTTAAGAGATTTCAAGTGGAGATTATATCATTAACTTTACTAATTTACTTTTTGTATGAATAATTCATTGTACATTATATATATATATATATATATATATATATATATATATAAATAGTGAGGGGAAAGAAATATTCGTACAGCATGAGTTTTTTTAATTACCATAGACTTTATAAAAGAATTTTATAATTCATGCAATATTTCTATACCATGGCATAATATATGCAATATGTAAACAAAAAAAAAAAAGAATCAGAAAAATTTGTTATGTTAATGAAATTATATGAAATGAAAAAAAATGGAGTCAAATACTTCTTTAATACTTTGTAGCATTTCCTTCACTCAATTCAGCAACAATCAGTCATCTTCCGTAGCTTTTAATCAATGATTTGCAAGTTTTCGTTGATATTTTACTCCATTCTTCTTTACATATTCTCTTTTGCTCCAGGATGTTTTTTGGAGTTCTTTTATTAATAGTCACAAGGCTTCATCAATGAAATTCACCCAACTTAACAATACTACTACTACTACTAGGTGTAAAGAAGCAAAAGAAATAAGATGAAAGAAAGACGAGTCACAAATGAATAATAATGACAAGGCTTCATCTAAGAAATTCACCCAACTTAACACTACTACTACTACTACTAGGTGTAAAGAAGCAAGAGAAATAAGATGAAAGAAAGACGAGTCAAAAATGAAAGCATTTTATCAACAAGAACATTTTAAAAATCTAGTTAATTCTGCAAAAGAACTTCTCAATTTTTAAAAAACAAAAAAACAAAACAAAAACAATTTTCTCAATTTCCAATAGAGTTCTTAAAAATTCAATCAACTTTTAAATAAAGAAATGCTTTAAATTTATAAACATCAAATAATTTTAAAGTAATCCTTTTCAGTTTAAAGCATCCTCCCAATCTGGCATCATCTCATTTTTATCACACTCTTTTACCAACAGAATTTGCATATGTTAATCATTGTTGTTCCAAATAGATTCTTGCCATCAAGAAATCCTTAATAAGAATGACCATTAGTGGCTTCCATAGCGAAGATTTATAATCAAGTGAAGGTTCCCCAAACACAATACACAATGATTAGGACATCAGATGCCATATTTTGTTTCTTGGCTATTTATCGTTGTCAGTCTATACATCTGATGAAAGGAACGGTTACTATTTGAAGTGTTAAATCACACACACACATTTATATAGTGGGGTACTTAAGGTGACATTCCCTCTTTAATCCATGTTTCTTTTAAAGAAAATTGATAAGATATATTTATTACAACTATATCAAATTACTTGCCATGTCTACTGCAAAGAAAGTTGGTTCAGCGTGTGATAAAAGAAAATTTTTCTGGCCAGAATTCACCTTACAGATTTATAAATCTATCATTCACTATTCATTGATTACAGGTCTCCTTTTCTATCGCTCTATTGTTAAGTTTCTAAAGAAACAACCTGTAAATGCCGAAAGCAAATCAAATGCCACAAAATTCCTTAAGTTCTGAGTGAAAACACCAGAAACTTTCTGATGGCAAGTTTGTAATTTAATAAAACCTGTTTATTTCTTTCATTCCCTCTTATCATGTTCTTATTACATTTTGGGATTTAATTTCTTACTGTCCGTTCTCTTTTTTTTTAATTCTAGAATAGACATTTTGGATGCTTTGGGGGAACTGGAATGGATTAATCTTCCACTAAGTTCAGTGAGAAGAAAATGCTTTGAAATACATGTAATTTGCAATACAAGTTTGGCCTGGGAAATAATTAAACCTGTACTGCGAGGTCCTACTGTACACACACACACACACATATATATATATATATATATATATATATATATATATATATATATTAGTAGATTTACTATAGACACTTAGTTGTAAGGCATTTTGTGAACAGTTTAACATGACAGGAAGAAAAAGTAATGTATTGTTTATTTCTGTCATAAGTATTGTTGTTCTGTGGTAATGTATTAATAAATTATCAATATATCAGAAATATGTTGATTGCTTAGGTATTTTGGAAGGGACTGGTTTCAAGAAACTCTAAGACCAGAAGACAAGCTGAGACTAAGAGGTGATCTCATCGGTAATCAGAATCTTTATTTAAAATCATTGTTATTGTTATGCACAAAATTCCAAACAAAACAATTATATTGCTCTATATAATTTGTTATTATTAGCTCTCTTCTAGGAGTTTTACCTGGATTTTCATTTTTTACTAACTCCTCGGGATTATCCACAAAACCAAATTAAATCTCAAATCTTGACCACTAAAGACAGAGAATGTAAAATGTTAAACAATTTTTTAAAAGTCATTCATTTTCTTCTCTTTTTTAAGCCTCAAGCATTGCTACTTCAACCATCTGCTCCATGTTTGATTAGTGAAGAAAATACAAGTTTTACAAACGTTTTTACATCTTTTCTTTCCAATGAGAAATCAAACATCCCAATGACATGGAGTTTAGTGATTTGGAGCGCTCATTTCATTTTCAGCCCAAATCATTCAAGAATCTGAGGAAAAACCGCAAAAAAGTAGAAGGAATGTAATCAACATTTCTGACATTAAAAGTGGCAAATTGACTGATTCAGATGAGGATAATGATGTTGATACATATGTGTCAACTCTTGTGTGGACAAACGATCTCTAAGATGTCAGTTTGCTAGCATTTTTGGAACCTAATGGATGTACACATTCATTGTTGAAGAATGCCAAGCAAGTCCACT